GGGGGGGACACAACAGGCACCGAGCGGGGGGAGTCCGCCGTGCTCGGGGATACCGTGTGCCGGGGGGGCCGTGCGCCGGCGGCCTGGGGGCTGCCGTGCTTCGTGGGGACCGGCCACCGGCGGGGGACCGTGCGCCGGGGGGCTGCCGTGCGCCGGGGGGAACACCACGCACGGGGGCCAGGCCTGGTCTTCCAACCCCCCCTCCACGAAGATCAGCCGGGCCCCGGTTTGGGGGGGCCGCTGGCTCCGGGGCTCGTCCCTACGGCGCGCTCCCGGGAGGGGCTCAGGGTTGGGGTGAGGGTCCCCCCGCTCCGCGGTGCTCGGGGTCACGGCGGGCGCTGGGTTGGGTGCACACGCGTGTGGGGTGCGCGGTGCGTGTGAGCGCGGCCGTGCCGGAGCGTGTGGCCGTGTGTGTGTCCGCGGGGGGGTTGTCGCGCTGCCGTGGCTCCCCGTGCCTGTCCGCGCTCCGGTGGCGGTCCCGCTGTCTGTCCGTGTCACCGGCGCTGCGTGTGCCAGAGCGTGTCTGTCCGTGTCAGTGTGTCTGTGTGTGCCCGCCCGTGGCCGTCCCTCTGTCGTGGCCGCCTGTTCGTGCAGTGAACCTCCCCTTCCCCGGGCCCCCCACCCACCGCCGTGATGCCGGGGGCTGCCGTGGGTGCGATTGGGGCCGGCCGGGAGCGGGGGGCCGGGATCACCCCCAGCCCGATGCCTGCAGTGCAGATCATAAATCAGCGGCGGCTGGAGCGGGATCCAGGGCCCGCGGGCTCCCCAAACCACCGGCGCGGGGAGCGATGAGGCTTCCCGGGCCCGCGGGACCCCCGGCAGCTCCCCGGGGCCGTCAGCAGGGTGGCCTGTCCCCCCCTGTCCCCGTTGTCCCCGCTGTCACGCTGGAGGCCAGCAGCCGGCCGGGGCTGGCAAGCAGCCCGCATTGCCAGGGCTGCGGGCACCGCGGCCTCGCCGCCCGCCGGCTCCGTGGGGCGATGGGGACGGTCCCCCACTGCCACCCGCCTGGCGGCACCCGGGGTGACCCGCGCTGTGGCCCTGTTTTGCAGGTGACACCCCCTCAGTTGCCACCGGTGACGTGCTGGGCGGCGGGGACAGCCGTGGAGCCACCGAGGACGTGGGCTGAGCAGCGGGACACGAGGAGGAAGAGGAGGAGTGGGCGTCTCGGGGACAGCACCGTGTCCCCATCACCGTTGGCAAACACCGCCGTCCCCGAGCCGACGCAGTCTGCGAGGTCCCGGTGGCTTTTTGGAGCCTGAGCCCTGCCARCAGCGCGGGGAGGAGGAGGAAGAGCCGGGGAAGACGTGCCGGGTGATGGATGGCCCCAGCCCCGCGCGGCGGCCTCGGGGGAGCGGGACCGGGCGGCTCGGGGACCTCGGGGACCTGGCTGGCAGCACCCGCCTCTGCAGAGCCCCGCAGCGCCTGCTCCGCTGAGCTCCGGAGCCCGCGGCCGAAGGCAGCTGGGACCAGCATTTGGAGGGGCCCCGGGTGACCCCCGCGTCCCCGCGCCGGGGGATGGTGCGGGGCTGAGCCGCCCTCCCCCGGGCATGGCACGGCAGAGCTCGGGGGCCATGCTGGCCTCGGGGGGCCTGGGGTTCCCCCCCCAGAACCTGGCCCGGGTGGTGGTGTGGGAGTGGCTGAACGAGCACGGGCGCTGGCGGCCCTACTCGGCCGCCGTGTGCCACCACATCGAGAACGTGCTGAAGGAGGACGCCCGTGGCAGCGTGGTGCTGGGACAGGTCGATGTCCAGCTGGCGCCCTACGTCATCGACCTCCAGTCCATGCATCAGTTCCGGCAGGACACGGGTAAGGGTTTGGCGTTGAGCCAGGAACATCCAGCCACCCGTCCGTCCTTCCATCTGTCCGTCCGTCCATCCATGCATCCATCATCCATCCTCGCAGCCATCATTCCCTTTCTCTCACCTTCCATCTCTCCATCCTTCCACCCACTCATTCATCCTTCCCTCCATCCATTTCTCCATCCTTCCATCCCTGTCCTTCCATCTTTCCTTCCATCTCTCCATCCTCCCATCCATTCTCCCAATTCTCCCTCCCTCAGTCCCTTGTGTGTTTCTGCCTGTCTGTCGTTCCATTCATCCGTGAATCTGTCACTGCATATCTGTCTGTCATTCCATCCATCCATCCATCCATCCATCCATCCATCCATCCATCCATCCATCCATCCATCCATCCATCCATCCATCCATCCATCTTTCCCTCACTCCTTTCCTGCCAGTGTAGCTCAACTTACTTGTCCACCATTAAATTCCTTCCTCCCTGCCTTCCTGCCTCTCTCCCTCTCTGCCTTCCCTGTGTGTGTCCCTCTCTGTCACTCCATCCCTCCCTCCATCCCTCCATCTGCCCATCCATCTGTTCCCTCTCTCCTCCCCTGGCTCTCTGGGGCTCCGGTCCCTCCATGGGGCCCTCCAGGCTCCTCCAGCCCTTTCCTGTCCTTTGCCATCCACCGTGTCCCTGCGTGCCCTGTCCCCTCCGTGGGGTGCTGTGGTGTGTCCCATTATCCCGCTGTCCCTCCATCTTCCCGTCCAAGCCGCTCCATCCGCAGGGAGCTGGGGAGGCCCAGTTTGGACACTGGGAGCTGTGGTGGGCACTGGGCCGGTTGCAGCCGTGCTGCTCAGTGCTGCTGCAGCGCATCCAGGCCATGTGTCCTGTGGGAAATCAGAGCTGGTCCCACACTGGGACCGAGCCCAGACCCCATTAAAGGTGTCCCCGTCACGGTGTGACCCATTAAAGCAGCATGTGCCGGCCGTGCCGTGGGGGATGCGCCGTTCTGGGCGCATTCCTGCCCTTCCCTGCATCCCTACCCGGGGCAGGATCCAGGCAGGGGACCTGCCACACGTGGGGTGACACCCCTACWCTCACCTGGGGACCCCCATGGCTRTGCCAMCTCAGCCCGGRCACCAGTGCCACCATTCCCAGTGYCCAGTGATGCCACACGACCCCGAGAGGGCACATGGCTCCTGCCACGGGCTGGGGACTGAGATGGGGACAAAGCAGGGACCTGCCACCTTCCTCTGCCATCCAGGCTGGCTCTGCATCCGTCTCCAGCCGGTCACGGACTTGGCAAAGGGCAGCTTGGCACCTGCAGCCCTGAGTCAGCGAGGACGCCGGCACGACCCGGAGGGTCCGCGCTGACTCAGAGCTGCGGGAGCCACCGGGACACCCTGGCTGTCCCCGTGCCACCTCCTGCCAGCTCTGGCTGGGACCCATCCTTTGACAGCAGCTGGCATCACATCCCATGGCCACAGTGCTCCCTGGGAATGTGTGCCTGCAGTGGGGCCACAAACGGGTTTGGGGTGACAAAACAACTCTTCCCAGGGTGTCCCTGCATGCCACTGTCCCTGTGCCAGCTGGGCTTGGGGACAGGAATGCTGAGAGAGGGACCTTGCTGTCCCTAGRGATGTCATAGGAGGGGACGTGGCCATTGTCCCTATCGTGGTCTCCGTGTGTCCCATCCCTGTACCCATCTCTGTCCATCATCTCTTCCCCGAGTGAGGCCCAGGGGTTGGAGGCTGTCACACGGCCTGCGGTGCTTGGGGACAACAGGGTCCCCTGCGCTGAGGGTGCTCCCGGTGTGACATGGCGACACATGCCTGCTGTGACATGGGGACACAGGGAAGGTGGGTGGGGGTTGGGGCTCAGGGGGCTTGGCCCATGTGGTGCCTGGGGATGGAGAAACCCCGTGATGGAGGGAAACGAGGTGACCCCGTTCTGAGAGCAGGGACGTGTGTCCCCTCCCGGTGGCCCTGGGGACACTGGCTGGGCCCTGTGGCTCTGGCATGGCTGGCAGAGGGGGCAGGGAGCTGGCAACAGCTGGTGGCCCTTGGGGACCCTGAGCTGTGTGTGCCAAGGGGAATGGGCTGGTCCTCCCATGTGCTCTGGGGGATGTGAGGGGCAGGGGAATGTGGGATTTGGGATGGGGATGTGAGGGGCAGGGGAATGTGGGATTTGGGATGGGGATGTGAGGGGCAGGGACTTGGGATTAATGATGGGGATGTGAGGGGCAGGGGGATGTGTGTATGAGTGGGCAGTGGGGTTGGATTTGAGTGGGCAGTGGGGTGTGGGGCTGAGTGGGCTGCAGGGTGTAGCCAGGAGTGGGCAGTGCGATTTAGGATGCGGGAAGGAACAGGCAGTGGGATTTGGGATGCGGGCAGGAACAGGCACTGGGATTTGGGATGCAGGCAGGAACAGGCACTGGGATTTGGGATGCGGGCAGCAGGGCCCCCCCGCTCCCCTCCCGCGACCCCGGCAGAGCTGCCTCAGCACAAGGCGGCAGCTGGGGCCTGGCTCTGCTGCCTGATGCGGCCGATGATTAATGGCCGTTAATTAGYGCCGCTAATCGAGCTGGGCAAACGGTGCGGCCAGGGGATAGACGGGCCCCGTGCCGGGGGGGCCGAGGAGGGGCTGTGGTGCCTCCCCCCGCTGCGGAGCTCCGGAGGGGGCTGCAGGACCCGGCCCCATCCCAAAGCAGCGGCGAGGGGCCGGGATTGGGCCGCGTGGGACAATCCTCGGCTGTGTCACTGCCAGAGCCAGCAGCTGTCGGGAAACCTCTCCTGACCGGGAAATGCTTCCCCTGGCCCGGGGTGGCCACGGGGAGGGGACAGCGGGGTGGGCTTGGAGCCGAGCGATAGGAAAAGGCCGCGAAAAGCACCGGGGCTGAGCAGCATCGCCCTTCCCGGGGCATCCGGGATGGTGACCCCGAGGGCCGCCCGCCTGGGCGGTGGCCGAGCCGCTGTCACCAACGGCGGGTTGAGGGTTGGTGGCATCCCTAGGGAAGCACTTTTGGGGTGCAATGGGGATTTTTGGGWAGGGGCGGAGCAGCTGCTTGCACCCCGAAGCCCATCCGTATCCCAGCCCCTGCGGGATGTCGGGCTGGGAGCTGGACAGCGCTGGTGTGGGTCCCTCCTCTGGTGTCACCGCCGCTGTCTCCGCAGGGACCATGCGCCCCGTCCGGAGGAACTTCTACGACCCCTCCTCAGCGCCGGGCAAGGGAATCGTGTGGGAATGGGAGAACGACAACAACTCCTGGACCCCGTACGACATGGACATCTGCATCACCATCCAGAACGCCTACGAGAAGCAGCACCCCTGGCTGGACCTCTCCTCCCTGGGCTTCTGCTACCTCATCTACTTCAGCAGCATGTCCCAAATGAACCGGCAGACGCAGCGCAAGCGGCGGCTGCGGCGCCGCATGGACCTGGCCTATCCCCTCACCATGGGCTCCATCCCCAAGTCGCAGTCGTGGCCGGTGGGCGCCAGCACGGGCACCCCCTGCTCGTGTCCCCAGTGCCTGCTGGTCAACAGCACCCGCGCCGCCTCCAACGCCATCCTGGCGTCGCAGCGCCGCAAACTCTACCCGGGCGCCGTCCGCCAGAGCAGCACCTTCGCCGGGGGAACGCTGTGGCCGGCGGGGACAGCCACGCCGGCGGTGGTGGCGGGGGGCGCGGCCAAGGGTGAAGGGCTGCGGGTGGCCGGAGCGGGGTTTGGCCCCGGGCAGGGCGTGCCCAGCGCGGCGCTGCCCGGGCTCAACAACCTCAACCGGCCCGGGACGCAGCGCGGGGCCGGGCTGGGCGCCAGGGCCGCTGTCCCACCCGGGTAAGATGGGTGCGGTGGGGAGGGGACAGCCAGGGTGTCACCGGGGCCGGGGGGGTGCAGGGATGGGCACACAAAGGGGTGGCGGAGGTGGCTCGTTCCCTGCTGTCACCTTGCACAAGCAGCCCCAGCCCTTATGTGGCGCTGTCACCTTCACCCTGGGGATGTGGTGGTGGGAGGGAGGGACAGTGGCTCGTCCCGGTGGGCCCTGGATCCCTGCAGGGGGAATGTGGATCTGTGCGGTGTGCCGTGCCATGCCGTGCCATGCCATGCTGTGCCATCCATGGCAACTGGAGGACACGGAACTCCTGCTCCCAGGGGAACGGTGTCCCCAATGCCAGCATGGGCTGTGTGACCCAGCTCGTGGCCTGATGCCACCAGGCAGCTCTCTGGGGAGGGAGCACAGCCCCGGTGTCCATGGTGGGAATCATTCACCGAGGGATTCCAGGTGACCCCTGGAAAGGTGTCCTGGTGTCCTGGCACCCATGTCCCCATGGCTGTACCCCACGGTGGGTTGGC